AAAAAAGCGCTCTCCAAGAAGAACAAACAATTTCTTTACTTTTTTTTACCAAGTGATTCGAGAGAAACAGAATTTAGTGGTGTACACCATTGATAGAAACAAAAATTTGTCCACGTGCGTGTAATGTGAAGTTTACAGTACTGCATAAAAACAATAAAGAACACCCATGTAGATTATAGTGTAGTGCGATAAATTTCAGCCGCCTGAAGGTGGGTGTGGGTGTAGACGTAACTGAGTGTCAACATGGGTGAGAGTAAATAAAAGATACCTACGCACACCCACTCCGCCCTCAATAGATATAATATCGCTTCAAAAAAATGAATTGTGAGACTATTCTTAGTTTTGATTAGTCTTTGAAATAGTGTATTCTTCAAATCTCATTGAATTTGTGCGTTTATATACAGAACTAAAGAGTATTTTATTTCTAGTGAGGACTGGAATCTTAAAAATTTATTTTAGCAAAAAAACAATGAAAATTAAAACGGATTATACAACATAATCATTCTAATAAAAAAAATGTTCTATTGAAAATGTTTCTTAATTGTTTATAAACGTCCAAGTGCTATATCTCTACCAATACCCTGATTAATGAGTGAAGTAAATTCTTCTAAATTAAGTTTATAATCACAATTTTTATTAGCTTTTTGAATATGATGAAGAAGCATATAAGGACTAGCATTAGGCATAATAACAGGCATAAATATAGCTAATTCACCAAGATCAATTGTTCCTGAATGATCAGTATCTAATAAACCAAATGCTGCAGGTATATCTTCTGATGCAAATTTTCCCATCATAAATGGTCTTAAAACTTTAGCAAAATTATCAAATGATAATGTTGATTTATTCATTGATGTTGCTAATCGTTCGTAATCTGGTCGCTTAACTGTTATTTGATAATTTCGTTGATCACCATTCTCACGAGTTTCTGTATATATATAATCAACTTCTACAAGTCGATCACCTTGTCGAACCACAGTTTCATCCACACGTACATCAATTCCGTTACTCATCTTGAATTAAATTGTTAAATATCGGCTAGTACTTATTTGAGCAATAAAAATACCTGAATGAACAATAATTAAAATATGAATTAGTAATAACCTTCGAATAGTTTTAAAGGGTGTGGGTGTGGATACTGTATTCACCTAGCATCCACACCCTCAATCAATTATTAACAGAGAATTCGGTCTAATTGATCGCTAATGAATGTATCATTCTCTCTTATATACGTATATACACATAAACAGGAAGAGAAAATTCAAAGACAAAGGGAGGAACCCAAGGAGAAAGAAAAGTACTTGAACGAGTCAACTTTTAGAAATATCTCAGATGAAAAGGAAAAAAACAATATATATGCAGAGATCCTGGATATACCATCTATACGATACAATCAAAAGGAACAGAATAAAATATCCAACATAGACGAATGTTACTGTAACATGTGGATTTATATTGCTTCCTATACATACGATTTATTGTTAATTTAAATAAATTATTGCTCATTGAATATAGTTATTGCACATTCAGTATTATTATTGCTCACTTAGTATTATTTTATTCATCATGTTGATATAAGTCTTAAATATCTTACTTTTTATTTTGTATTGGATCAATTGAAATCGAAATGAAATGAAATTCACTGAAAATTCTTTTGCGTATTTATACAATGCGCAATAATAAAAAAGGAAAAAACATTTTGAAATATTTTTGATTCTTTACTTGTTTATAGTGGCGTAATCAAGGGCGGGCTAGGTTAGGCGCCGCCTAAATACCGGTCATTTTTGAAAAATTGACTTTTTTTATTTATGTGCGATTACTGATCGTCACTATCTTTTATAAAGGCGTCCATACCCTAAGCGTAATATGTATATTCAGTTTATTAAATAAAAGAAACTTTAAAATTGTTCGATGATGGTGTGTATGGATCTGAATGGGTTGCTTCCCATGCAGAGAAACATCGAAAAATAACGCGTCAAAATATGCGCTTTTTATGATTTTATTTTTCTTAAAATTTTAACGCTTTATAGCGAGTTATTTTTCGATGTTGGTCTACCTGGCTTACTGCTCTTTTTATCACTAAAAACAATCTAAAATAACAAATTAAATTTGATTAAATATAAATATTCCTACTGATCCATTTATAAATACAAAAGGCTTTTATCTATTCACACCCACGTAATAGACAAATAAAGGGTCTAAAAATAAATTCGAATGGAAGCAAAGGTTATATTACACGATATAGGAGAGAAGCATATAATGATGTGACAAAAAGGCAAACTAATAATACGCTTTCAAAATATAGTTACAAGAAGAAAAGGATTAAAAATAAATAATAAAGGACATTGCGAACATTTCATACAAGGATGGATTGTTACAATTATCTTACCCAAAGTCAACTAATGAGACGCGAATTGATAAAAGATATAATAACAGATGAAAAAAGAATTTTTAGCAATCTAACATTAGATACTTTCACTCGTTCTCTCTCTACTTCGAGCAGCATCTATTAAAAAATCTTGAAGTTTTTTTTACGATTATAATGATAGCAAAGTATCAGATTTCTTTTGTACTTAATCTTTTTATTGTCTCAGCGTAATGAAAAAATATTCAATTTTCTGTGATTTAGCAAAATATTGTTTTGAAAGATATCATATATATATTGAATTAATGTCTCTATTATATATATTCTTAACTTTGTATTCTAACTTTTATGGTAACAATTAATATTTTCTGAAGCAAAATTTATTTTAGATGAATAAATCTATTTCTATGATATTAGTATTATTTATTCTGAAAGTCTTTCTCATTTCACAATGTTCAATGCAAACACATAATGTGTATAAAGCTTTTGGTCAACAAGATGAAGCAGAATATATTGATGATTTTAGTACTCTTATAAAAGATTCTTATTCAGCACCACTACCTCAAGATTTAGCAGCTACATGTAAGAATCAAAATCAAGTGACAGTATCAACATCTAAATCAATAACAAGTTCAATTTTATCATCTGATTTACAAATATTTTGTGGTACTGATACTATATGTATCATACCAACTGGTTTTACAGTTACAATGAATAGCAATTTAAATGTTGCAGCGCTGATTGTAAGTGGTTCGTTAATTTGGAATGACGCTAGTCAATCTTCAAATAATCAATGGTTGTGTGCTGGTTATATTGCTGTAAGTTATTTTTACTTTCGAAATTTAATCAGAAATTGAAAAATTAAATATTTATTTCTGTAGGTTGATGGAGGTCAATTGGATATGAATTTAAGTAGTAAACAAGGTTATATTTACATTAAAAATAATGGTCTCAAACATCCAGCAATTTATACTCGTGCATTTGCTGCCTTGAATACCGGTAAAATATATGTTAGTGGTCGATCTCTTGCTAGAACATGGTCTTTACTAGCTAATAAAGCGACATATGGTATGAATTCAATTAGTCTCTTACACAAACCTAAGGATATGGTTAGTATGTCATATTTCTTTCTATTACAAAACGTTTAGTATACTTTAGGGTTGGAGAGTGGGTGATAGAATTGTTATAGCTCCGACTGCAACAAGTTCAAGTGGAAATGCTGAAGATTATACAATTGGAGGATTCGAAGATAATAATACTATTTATTTGCTTAATAAAGATGGAACTTCTACTGGTTCTATCTCATCATATTTTAGATCACAAACTGTATTTACAGGTGCAAATATGTCTGCTCTTATGCAAGCTGAAGTCATCAATCTTGCTCGTAATATTATCATTACTGGAGATGATTTTCAACATGTTAATTGTGTAAATGATGTAGCTAATGGTAGACCACCTGATCATATTCAAGCCGATCATTGTTCATGTTGGAGCAGTATTCAACGAACTAAATGTACACTTGGATTACATACAGCTGCAGTTGGACCTGGATCTGTTCTATCTTTACAATATACAAGAATTGAAAAATGTGGTCAACGTGGTATTTTAGGAAAATACTGTGTACATTTACATTTAGTTCGAAAATGCCCGGATTGTAAAATTATTGGTAATGCTTTTGAATATGGTCATCAACGAGGTACAGCAATTCATGGAACACATTTAACAACTGTAGAGAATAATGTTTACAATGATATTCGTGGTGCAACAATATATATTGAAGATGGAAATGAAATGTATAATAGAATATTTCATAATGTTGCAATATGTCCTTGGGCAAAATCTGGAGAAAAAAGAGGATGTACTATACCAGGTGAGTTTAAAAAAATGATCTAAATTTTTATTGTTTAAATTTTTAAAAGGTACCGACAATGGTCAAGCGGATGGGACATTAAATCAAGCTGGTTTATGGGGTTTGAGTTTTACTAATTATGCTATTGGAAATCGTTTTGCTAATAATTATAATGGTATGTTGTATCAAGAACAAGGATTTGGTCGTGGTCGGGGTCATGTCAATGGTTTAGAATGTCCTAGTTTTCAACAAATTGGAAGATTAGAAGGAAATACTTTTCATGGCTGTGGACGATTCGGTACATATGTACTTGCAACTGTATTTCCAAAAAGAACTGATAGATCAATTGATAAAAATGGTCTACCAACTTTAACGACATGTCAAGAATGGACGGCAAATGGTGAAGATAATGGATTACCATCAACATTTATGCATAATATAGATTATGATAATATATTTGTTGGTCAATATGGTGCCGGTGATTTACAATATCGATATCATACAAGTATTAATAATAATAATTTAATTTATTGGAAAGAAACAAAAAATTTTCAAGATGGTTGCTCGGCTCATATTGCTGATTCATTTTATGATTCAGGTAATTTAGCGTTACCTGGTGGTCATGGAGCGTTTATTTTGGAAAATATGATTTTCAATAATCGTGTTCATTTTGAATCAAGTCATCATTGTCGTGTTGGAGTAACTGGCGGTAACTCATATTTTTTTATTTATCTTTGTTATTTATTTTGTAATTTAAAGTACTTTGTATGCCAACGTATGTGTTTGTTAATATGAAATGGACAGGTGTTGTACCGGATGATTCATCACTTTTAAAGTGGGGACCAAACAATGGAGCTATGTTTACACTTGGGCCTGATGATGAACAAAATTTGAATGGAAATAAATTATTTCCAGCTGGATTTAATTCGATAGTTAATCCATTTTGGTAGAACTTTTTCTTTCAGAGAACTTTTTTTATTTATTTAATTCTTGTTGAAGGTCTTATCTTTTAGCGTTGGATAATGGTACATCTTGTTTTAGTTCTAATGATGTTGCTACTCTTTTAGGTCAAGATTCGTCTAGCTTTGCAAAAAAATATAACGGTGGTATGTTGATAAAATAAAAATATTTAAATTTTTTTGTTTGTTTATCGAATTCTAATTTTAGGAGCTATTTTTTGTAAGAGACCTGTTCGTCGACTTGAGGTACGATCAATTTTTGAAAAGTTTATTTTTATATTGTCTTGACATGTTTTAGATATTCTCATATAATCAAAATTCTGGAAACCATGAAAATATGCAATTAGAACTTTGGCAATTTGGTAATCGTATAAGTTCAGTAACTTTGAATTTTTTTCAAATTGGAGACAAGAAACAAGGTTATAGTGCTACTGTTATTCCTGGTTTGGATCATCAATATCGATTGTCAATGACTGATGGAGGTAATGTATCTCCTGATTGGATTATTGAATTTTCTGACCCAATTTTTGGAAATCGATGGAAGAGAGATGAGATTGATCTTGTTGTTGCTGGTAGAAACTGCCCATATCCAGTTCATTCTCAGCATGATCGAAGGTAATTTTTTTTTCCAGTAAACTATTTATTTTAAATATTCTTCTCTTAAGATATATTTGGTCTGGAAATAATTATCTTAAAGTTAAAGGAAGAGGGGCTTGTACATCTTTCCCTGATATGTCACCTGTTAACTGTAAATCGCAACCAAAATTAACTAATGTTGAACATTGTCCTGATCAATGTCCAACTGGTTGTAGAAATGGATATTGTGATTGTGCAACAGGAGAATGTTTGTGCAATCCTGGATTTTCTGGTGTAAATTGTAGTATTGATACGTGTGGTGCTGCTGGATGCGTCAATGGTAATTGTGCTGCTCAATATCTTGGACGAGATTTACCTGTTACAAATAAACCATGTGTTTGTATCGACGGTTGGTATGGTGATAGATGTGATACAACAACGCCGCCACTTCCAGTTTCAGATCCAGCACCCATGTGCTTTAATGGATGTTATTATTATACAGATACTAGTATTGGTGGTGGACAAATTCAGACTATTCAAACATCAGATCCAACAGCTTGCTGTGCTGCTTGCAATCGGAATGCAGCTTGTAATGCATGGGTTTTTTCGGCTTATCAATGCTATTTAAAAACAGGAATACAACTAATTCAGAAAACTGGAGTTACATCAGGAATTAAATGTTTAACTGGAACAAATTCTAGTACAATCGCACCTGCAACAGTAGCATCTTCTACTACAGTAGCACCTTCTACAGTCAGACCATCTGTAACAACCAACTGTGATGGTAAATGCAAAGGTAAATATCCATATGGTTGTAATGCTAGTCTTCAAACTGGTTATTGTAATGCAGGAGGCGGATGTACTTATTCTATTAACACTAATCCAAGCTGGTGTTGTTTCAAAGGTTGTTGATTCAAAAGAACAGTAAAAGACACTCTTAATTTTATTTTAAAACGTTTTAGTTTTTCCTTGAAATAAATAAATAAAAACTAACAAAATTAACTCTAAATATTAATAAATGGCTTAGGCAAGTGTTTCAAAGTATGATTTGATTTCATTATTTTTATAGTTGCTATCTCTAAAACTTATTGTTTTTCTTCGCTTCTCTAAAATGTATATGCCAATTTAATGACGATAAGTTTGAGGGTGAGGGTGTGGGTGTTATGCTTTTTTTCTCGTTCATATTTACACTCTAGAAATGACCCAGTACTTTTTCATACTACGATCACAATGTTGTTAATTCAAGTAGTATCAAATCTATATATATATAACATCATTTTAGGATGCTGTTTTGTTGTTGAAATATCTTTTGCTTTGATTGACTGCGACGGTAACAATTAATCATCTTAGATATAATAATAATATTCTTAATAAAACTATTACTATGGTTCGATTCATAGATTTTTTCGAGAATTTCTGATTATACGAAGCACATCCAGATGATTCACCTCGAAGGTGAATGAGAATATAGAACGAGTGACAATATCAAACTGATCTATAAACTAAATTTCATAACTGTATTCGAACGTCTCATATATCCTTAAGAGTATACTTTTATAACGTTTATCAACTAAATAGTTCTATCAATTATTAAATAAATAACATAATAACTTCTTGAATGTTCACATTTTTTGAACGCGAGTTATAATGTTCTTCATAAAACTTAAAATCCTTCTTTGAATATATTATGATTTAGTAAGAGACGATAAAAACGCGAGTATTTATTTGGTGAATAAAGTATGAGAAGAATATTAGATTACAAAACTAATTTAGTACAGACATACAACAAATAAGTTTTCAAGAAAAGGAATAGTTCAGTTATGTGTTTACATAATTAGTTTATATCTCTAGTTTGTGTAAAAGGGTTAACCATCGACACATTCATTTGTTGTCTTATATGACGACGATATAAATTTTTTAAACCATCAAAAAGTGTTTTTCTAAATACACGAGATGTTAAGATTGAAATATAAAATGCTTTAACATTATTCAAGTAATAAAAATTATTACTAAGATTAAAAACAAACAAAACAATCGAGAATTCTACAAAAGTTCTCGGATAACTCAGAGTAAATGTAAAATACATATACGTTATAACCCATTGCATAGAAATGAAGCTTGTTACTAAAATTTGTGCAAATATAGTTACAATAAATTGATTTCGAAGATTTCGTCCATTTGTTTGAGCTGTGTCACCCTAAAATAGAACAGAATTACATTTATGAGAAATAACCAGAGTTCAGCTACTTACAACTCGTCCACGACTTCGAAGAACATTTCGATAAGTAAGTAAAACAAATGTTATCATTGTTATTGGTTGAAGTAAACCGCTAAAAATAATATATGCTATACCTGTTAACGTTGGATTTGTCGATGCGCAACCAATTATAGGTACAAGACCATGATGAAGAGGAGCATACAATGTAAAAAGACCACTTGTGAGAACAGTAAGACTAATCATCCATGGTACTTTTCGAAGTTGAGTGATTCGACGAACGGATGATGTATGATCACACGTTATGGCAAATCGATCAATAATAGCCATACATAAAAAGCTTATTGATAAATATGGAAGAAATCCCAAGAGAAAGATACTGAATTTACAAAGACCAGATACCGTAAACCATGGTAAAGTAATTCCATATTTACCTGAAAAATAATTTGGAAATGAATTAATACAGAGATTAATAATATCAATGAATGAACCACAAAGTGAATAAATACAACAAGTATTTGAACAAAGTTGAGGTTGAAGATATGTAAAAACATTTCCAATAAATCCAATAAGACCAAAGATTAAAAAGGTCAATGGTAAATAAATAAGAATATTTTGTGAAACAAAATTAAGATCATCAATAAGTGATTTTGATGTTTGTATAAGATCGACTGTAGTTGTAGTGTTATTGTTAATCATTTTAGAAACTTGTTCAGTATAAATCAGTATATGAAATGAAGAATGAATGTATGTATGTGGAATTACTTTCTTTTTTTCTATAAGCATAAACTGAGTGAAAAGCGGGTATATATATTTGATGATCTACACTTATAATTAGTGTCTTTTTATAGAAAGTTCTCGGTAGGTCATGTGAGAATGACTTTTTTTACAAAGAGTATATACATCCTCTGTTATTTTGAAAGAAATTGAAAAGATAAAAATTTTCTTTTTAATTATTAAGAAGGAAATGACAACGTTAGTGAACACTGTCGAATGCCTTAAATAATTTTGACCTTTCTTTTTGCTTGTATAATTGTTTTGACATTAAGAATCACTATTTATCACCAAACTACATTCTATTGAATTTATTAGATTATTTTCTACAAATTTCAAACTAAAGTTCTAATTATATGAAGTAGAGTGAATAAAGCAAAGTGTATGCAAATGAAACTAAATCTTGACCATATTTCTGCATTCATAAACAATATTTTTAAAAGTATTTTATTAAAGATTAGTTATGATACAAAAAAGAATTGCGTCGTTTTTTTCTATTGCTAATTCGTGCGTTTTTTTACAGAGATATTCTACGCGATAGAACTCTGCATATTCTTCTTTTAAGTATTTCAGTAAACTGGATATTTCTAACAAAAATTTGAACTCAGAAACTAAACATGAAAGAAATTATTGTTTTAACATTATTTATCTAGATACTTCAAATAGCGTTCACATCTCAAATTCTCATTAATAATAATAAAATTCATTTAGGCGGAAACTTAATGACGTCAAAATCTTTTTCGACTAATATTGAACATTGTTTATTCTAATAACTATTGGATAAAATAATATCGATATATTATAAAAACATTTGGGATATTGTGAGATGCTTTGATAAAAAAAATAATTTATGAGCATCAATAAACTATTTAAACAATGATATAACTCATAGTTAAAATCAAAGTGAATTTGTAAAAGTCATATAAGAACTAGAAGAGAAACTTTATTAGATTTAGAATTATAATTTTAATGATGTGTTTTTCAGTGAAAATAGTAATAACACAGAAGATAAATACAATACATCAAATAAAATTGAGCTTTGAAACATAAATTTTCAGTAGGGCGAATACAGTAATTAAAAATGTATTTATCAGAATTATAATTATCGTATTAATCAAGGCTTTATAGAATTAAGGAATATATTTTTAGTCTTGTGGTATCTATGAGCTGTAAATTCAAATTAGCTAACTTGTTTGAATCGAGAAAAGAACATTTTTATAAGACGAAACTTAATTTAGTTTAAGTCGTTAGTATTGTTTGATAACGAAGAGAAATAATAATTAAAGATATTCTGGTATAATATGAAAATCTAAAGTGTCATTATTAGAAAGCGTTGTGATGAAATAGTTGTGGTTCGTTGTAAAAATCTTCTACTCTCTATCTCGTAGAGATGAGCCCAGTAAGAGTAAATTGTTTGCTTGCTTGTGCATCCTCACTTCACTTATTGAACTAAAAATAAAACACATTGGAGAAGTATTATTTTCCATAAAGCTTAACCACAGGTAATTCGATAGTGAGAAGTTCGAATCTATGAGGTTGCGATTTTTACCAGTTTTTTTTGGCAATCGAGCTTTTTACGGAAATAATTTTTTTTTATTAAGTTTGACCAATGCTAAATGAGATCGACGAACTCAATTCTGAAGTCGATTTTTTAAAATTGCTTGGATAAATAGTTTGCTGGTAGTGAAGACACACCATTCGTACGAGAAAGAGCTGAGCGGGTCTCCCGTCGACCGTTACTTCTCTACTACATGTATGTCAATTTTGACGTCAACAAGATGTTAAGAAATATAATTAACTTTGGGCTTTATAAATATTAGATTCTATTCAGCGAACAGGAGGGTTTGATTTGCATTTGAATATTTTGATATAGTTTTATATATCAACGTGACTACTGCAATCAAGATGATTCAAATGAATTACTTTTGTATTTCCATGCATTATTAACTATGCAAATAACAATGTTCATTGTGTCTTTGTTTTACTTCGCTATGGATTATAATGATTATAAGCTTAACACTATATCAAAAGAGAAATGAGATCCTGACGACTTTGATGGATCCTAGGACTCATGAATTTGTAGAGGATTCGCTTTCTTCCCTTGCAATATGTATGTGGTACAAGGTGAGAAACGAGAGAACCAGCATTATAATAATACTCATTGATTTCATCGAAAGTCTTATAATGATTGTAAAGTTGATCATGTCATGGCTTGCTATAATCTATTATTGATGAGAAGACAAAATTTATCTATAATGTACTATAATGATATTGAATGTAGTTGATAATTAAACTATACATATGAGAAAGAAAACAATGAATACTCACGAAGGTGATCAACTTCTGTCAATCATTATCATTAGCAATCTTATCCGTAGATATTTAATTAAGTTATATGAATGTTTAATCTACCGAATTGACTGTTTATGGGTGAAATAGTAGCAGCTCACTTACAAGCTGAATCGAATTAAATATCAACTTTATTTGTATCTATCATTAATAATAATAAAATAATCAGAGAAAAATATTCACTTATCTTTTTATCTAATACTATTTTCTCAAGAATCCCTATCAATGACTGAATGATGTTCTTTAATATGTTCGCTTTTAGCCAGTTGTATATAACAATGAACAAGAAACACCACGGATTGAAAAAAATAAATAAGAATGGTTTCTCTTTTAATAAATTCAGTTTGTGTTTAAAAGACAAATATCATATAAATGATGGAAATTATTCAAAGGTAGTGGAACGTATCGACATTCCTACCGATACCCATTCTTCCTTGATGGTTGATTCGATTCTTCTAAATACAATAAAAATTATGTTTCAAAGCTTTTTAATAAGCGAAAATATACAGAATGTTTAGAACAAAAGCATGCAGGTTAGATATGTTATTAATTATGTCAAAATATAGTATAAGTCGTTAAA